GGAAGCTTCTCGGGAAAGGTCCAGCGCAGCCTGGGACAGAACGCAGGCAGGTCAGAGGCCCTGGGCAGCCTGTTTGCATGTATCGAAAGCAGGCCCTGGGATGGATACGGGGTAGGGGCCAAATACAGGCCGAAGGCAGTCGGGCACAAGCAACCACCTCAGGCCCTAGGCCTGGTCTATTTCAGGCTGGGCCTCAGCCTACTGGGGCCTACTGGAAGCTTCTCGGGAAAGGCCCAGCGCAGCCTGGGACAGAACACAGGCAGGCCACTTCCATATAGCAAAGGGCCTGCCTCTGCATTCGACATTCGGGTGCTGGCTGCATGTTGCGCAAGCGCTGCTGCGCTATTAGCTGGCCAGCGCTCACGCGCTCACGGGCGAGCAGGAAGGAGCAGGCAGCCATAGCCGAGCTGCGCTGCTGTAAGCTGGGTGTGGCACAGGGTGGTCCTTGGGTGCATGTGGCATCTGTGTGTCGGGGAACGAGGTTGTGAGTGAAGCGAGAGACTTACCTGGTGCTGGAAGCATGCAGCATTGGCCGCTATCTGCTCGTACTTCGGGAGAGCTGTTGTCGTCAACTTCGGCATTGTAGTCTAGGCTAGATAGGATCTGCCATCTGTAATCTGGGCGCCGAGCGCCAGTTAGGATATCAACATTGGTTCTTCGTTGATGATGATGATGAGACTATTCCAGCATTGTCAATTATGAGCTTTTCGTGTGCTCCTATTTGGTGAAACTCGTGATGCAATTCTGCTCTTTGTTCGAGGTCAAGACTATCTGGTCTTATGTGTATGATGCTGTTTGATTGTTGAAGTTCGCTATTGCTCATCTTCGTTGCATAAACAATACCCCAGATTCCTGAAAGCGTAGAGGTCTAAGAAGTGCATATCAACTGGAGGGTTTAGACTCCAGAGGCATTTGATCACCTTTCCAGTTACAGCTAATCACAAAGTCGGGTAGTGATTCAGAACCCCGAGGTTAGCATAGTGGAAGCCAATGCATTGAGAAAAGTAAGGGTCTTAGGAACCGAACAGTGGGCGATCTGTTACCCAGATACCTATATCTCCTTTTTTTTTAAATAACAGAACCTTATGAATCCAGCACCTTTTCCATTATGGGGATTCTTCCACTGGCAAGTCGGACGAGATTACAATGAATACTCACTCACACTCCTCCCCCTTGTGGTGTGGAGGTCCGAAGGACGGCATTGATTACTTCCCGAAGGAAGGATGTACCACTCTTCACCCCTGCCAAAGTTAGCCTGTTCTAATGGGATTCTGGTCTTATCCTGGGTGCTAGAACCCTACCCTAGCTTACTGCTTCTTTGTCTTTGACCTGTCTCTGGAGGTTGTTTCTATATCATAGCCTGATATGGTTGTTGGGGCTGGTCTGAATTCCAGGTATTGCTTGAAAGGGGTCTATTTGGAATTTGGTGAAGGTATTCTTGGTAGTGGAGGTATTAAGGTTTAGGGGGTGGTTGGGTTTGGGGTTTTAGTTGGCAATGGTGTACTGGGTGATG